ATCCATGATATTGGTTTCTTGGTACACAGAACCACAGGTATATACCAGTACTTACTACTTAGTGATTAATTTACTTTTAGACCAAATATTAAAAATAAACGTAGTGATACCTAAGAGATAAGCTGAGGTTAAATACTTAAATCTTCATCTAAAGTATTTGATACTTGGAGACTTGGAGTGTGACTCCCTACTATTTGATATTTTGATTACATTCATGATAATGTTGTGTAATCTATCTTAATATACTACTCCGGTTAAATATTATGTGCAACTTTAAAAATTTTTATATCTAACAAATAATATCTCAAAGTTGCACATGACGATTAATGGAGTAGTTGTTTCTTTCTTTCTTTCTTTTAATAATTTAAGCACTACCTTTATTTCTTTTTTGGTGTTTAGAGAGCCACAACACTACCTTTATTTCTAATTGTCCTTATTAAGACTTGCAAGTTGCAATAATATGTTTAAGATTACGCGTGTACAAGTATAATTCCTCCATTTAAATGAGGAGAATCTATTATGTACACCCAGATATATATACCGTACACCCGGGGTCATTTGTTCATTCAATTAATAAATGAGTAGATGATCACGGGTATACGGTAACGGTACACTCAGGTATATAACAAATTTTATAAATTGAGGATGAGAGATTATTAAATTAGGAGTATAGTTTAGTAGGTTAATTTAAAATAAGGGTAATAATACAACTTTTAACAATTTTTTCTTTTCTTTTAATTATAATGTATTGCAAGTATTTCACTAAAAAAATAAATAATGTATTGCAAGTGTAGTGACATTTTTATTTAAAGAAAATGTTGAAATATAAAAAAACGGGTGAAGTACTTAGCTTTGCCTTTAAAGTCTTTGTTCATATAAATATTATTAAGGGTAAACAAAACAATTGGTTGGAATGGAACTATGGAAGTAGTGTTCCATTATTAATTTTAAATTTTGCACACACGATGACAACGACACAACTCTAAGGTTTTACTATATTACATTGCTAGATTAACCCTGTGTGATGCACATTTTTAAATAAGAATTGAATTATAGACTTTTAACACGTATTGAAAAAATATAACTTCCTCATTTTTTCTAACTAATTCCTAATTAAATCTATTCAAAAAAAAAATCCTAATTAAATATGAATATGCAATTCCCGAAAGTGCATAATTTTTATTTTTAATTAATAAATTTCAATTAAATTACATTATTAACTATTGTTAACAACTCGTAAATAACTAAATAGCATAATATGTGTAGAAAACCCAAATTTAAAATTTAAAAATGCAAATGAAATATATTTTCAAAGCTATGTTAGTTAAATAGGGTAACTTGAAAAGGGAAAAAAAATTATGACATCATCCTTGCATTTTGAGAGAGAGGTTACTCCCTCCGATTTTAAGTATATTACTTCCTCCGATTTTATTATCACATTAAAACTTATAGTTTCTAATACAGTATTAAGTCATTATATACACACAATCAGCTCCAAAAATTAAAATCTGTGTTATACACAAAACATTATACTACCTTCGCTTCAGGTTACTCGCAACAAAGTACAAATTTGCGGATACCTAGGCAAAATAGGCAATAGATTGAAAGCCTGATTATTGAAAAATAAGGGTATATGCTTAACTATTAATCCAACCAAAAATAAAGAAAAAAACAAATTCAAGCTTAATTTAATAAAATAACCAACCACCACTGACACCACCAACCATCACCGAAACCAGCCACCACCACCACCACCCAGCATCACCGAAACCACCCACCACCACTACCCAGCATCATCGAAACCACCCATCACTGAAATCGACGAACCTGACACCAGAAGCACCACCGACGCACCCAAGCACCACCACGAACCGAGCAAACCCAGCCCCCGCAACCCACCATACCATCCTTAAAAACCCACAAATCTGGAAAACCCACACAACCACGAAAACCGTAGAACCCACCACCACCACCACCAACCAAGCGAAACCACTCAACCTTGAACCCACCACCACGAAAATCCTAGAACCCACCACACACCAACCCGCAAACCACGAAAATCCTAGAACCCACCACCACCACCTACCAACCCACAAACCACGAAAATCCTAGAACTTAAGAATAAGTTTATAATTTAATTAGGATGTTTAAAAAAAAGGTAAGGGTAAAAGTGTCATTTTATAAGTAAAAAGTTACTACAGTAAAAAAGGAAAGAAAGTAAGTTGTTGCGAGCAATGTGAAGCGGTCAAAAAAAAAGAAATTGTTGCGAGTAATGTAAAGCGGAGGTAGTATTTATTTATTTATTTATTTATTTATTATTAGTAGTTTAGTACAACTGGGATAGTATAGTAACTACTCCCTTCGTTTTTAAATATTTGCTCCATTTTTCTTGGACATGCATGCCGATGCTAATCTTTGATCACTAATATCTTTAATTACCAATAAGTATAAATTCTAACAATTGAAAATTAATAATCTATTCATTAAGATGATTCCAACAAGTACCCACAAGACTGTAATTTTTCTTATGTATAAATCACAAACATTAGTCAAAGTAGGTTAAATGAATAGTGCAAAAAATAGAAATAGAGCAAGTATTTAAAAACGGAGGGAGTATTAATAAGTCAGTACTCAGTATCATCATAATAAAAATAGATTCAATTGTAGCCTTCAAGCATTGAACCTTGGACCCTCAAACAACCACTAATGGCCACTGAGCTACGCTTATACAACTTGTTTAATTTCAGCATATTTTAGTTTTATCCGTAGTTGATCAAAGTTTTAGGTTTTTTATATTCAGCTCAAGTAATACACTAATATGTACTTATGTAGTGTATGTATAACAATTTTTTTTTCTTTTTTCTAATTTTTTTACAAAGAATTAAGTTTTACTAGTAAAAGTTAGAAATAACTCGATTTGATCTAATTCCAATCTCAAAAAAAAAAAAAATTCAGATTTCTATTGGTATAACTATATATAGTCAAACTGACCTGACCTAACTAATTCTAATCCAATCATCTAAATAATTAACACCCTAAAAAAAAAATTATGCAAATAGTTAAGGAAATACTTACGAGTATTTTATCATTATATAATGAATGGTCTGACGTAACGCTATGACATCAACGAGCATATATATAAGTCATCATGCGGAAAGATTCTTTAATTTGATTTAAAAAAATGGCCGTGTTTCTGGTGTTGGCTTTAATATCATTGGGTAGTTTTCCTTAAATTAATTTTGAATTCACTTTAGTCAAAGGTTTGCTTGATACGACATAATCACATGAATTATGTACACCGTAAATTCCGTAATTATTATTATTATTATTATTATTATTATTATTATTATTATTATTATTATTATTATATCTCAAAAACAAAAGTCATACAATCTACTATAAATTAGTGGGAAACCGAGATACAATCTGGGCCCCCACTCTTATAGCTATAGCAAATCCTACCCTAGTGAAGATATGAGCTGCAGCACGAGCCCCAATGTCTTGCGTCGTCGAGAACCTCTGAATCCGCTTCAGTAACGCAACAACCTCCTTCTCTAATTCCCCAAGCGAAGAAAAGGAGAAGGAAATGAAACCATATCCAATCGCCTGACATCGAGCTTCATACTTATCCCGCTTCCGATGAGCAGCATCAGCCACAACCCACCCAGGAATAAAGTCAGATAGCCCTGACTGTGTCAAAGGAGAAGACCCTGTGAAATCAACACAGACATCGCGACCACGATCCCATGAATAAGTAACACATCCGCAGGTCTAAGAGCCTCGTCGTTCCCTCCAGCCATGCTATTCTATGGTATTTTAGTGCAATAGTGCCTATTTTAGTGACCAAGTTGTCTAGATGTCTTTATAGTATGATAGTAGATTATTAGAATATACTTTGTATTATATGCAAATTGTTACTTTATTTAAATAATGCCTAATAAGTTCAATAAGATCTAATAAGTCAACTCTAAAAACGATCAAAATTAGCAATTAGCAATATTTAAAAAAGATCTAATAAGGTTTAATAATTTCAATCAGGTTTAATAAGTTTCAATAAGTTCAATCAGCTCTAATAAGTTTCAATAAGGTCTAATAAATTTAGTTAAATTTAGACAAGTCCGGTTCAGATAAGTTCAACTCTAAATCTCTAATAAGGTAAAGAGAAAACATCCTAAGTATATGATGCATGTGTTCCATAAACTTCTAACATATCATAAGATACCTTGCTATATTTGCAAGATGACAAGCAACAAATGTAACTTTAGGTGGGAACACAAATAAAATATATAGTTATGTACTTATGTATGCCATTATACGATGATATATAGAGAGTGACCAAGTTGCATAGATGACTTTATAAAAGAGCGAGCTGGTACACTTAGTATTTAATGTAAGATGGCAACCATTAGAGGGGACCTTTCACCGGGGCCATTCGGGGCCAGGCCCCCCGTAAATTATTGTAACTAATTAGTCAATATACTTAAATAACCTATATTTACTCATAAAATATTGGGGTACGACAAAGATTAGTTTTGAGCAAGAGGTAACCTTTTTAAATACCGGCTCCTCTAATATTTTCGGCCAAAATCCGCCACTAGCAACCATGTATATACAGTAGATGAATGGGAACACAAAAAACCATACAGTAGAATAGTAGATGAATGGGAACACAAAAAAAACATATCAAATCATTGCATTATCAATCGTGTCAAATATGACCCATGACTTCATGCTGTTACATGGTAATTTACTAATTTAGTGGCCAAGTTGTGTTTATGTCTTAATAGTAGAGTATATAGTACTAAATGTAAATAATCTCTTTAATTTAATTTACATAATTATTAATCGTACAAACTTCTACTTAGTCGATGCTATAATCCATCAATTTATGCTATTATTGTGTATTTTAGTGACCAAGTTGTCTAGATGTCTATGAAATTCACGGTAAATGTTTTTCTTTAAAATATATTACGTAATAATCACAGTATTACAATTGTACAAATACAGTATAGTTACGTATATGATGTGTTCCATAAACTACGTTCTAGCACATTAAAAGATACCTTGCTATTTGGTTGCAAGATCGATGAAAACAAATATACGGAGTAAGTAATTACAGCGCTTATAGGTAAATGAGAACACAATTCTTAAAAAAAAAAAAAAAAAAAAAAAAAAGAAAGAAAGAAAGAAAAGAAAAAGAAAAAGAAAAAGGTAAATGAGAACACAATTAAGATTATTTAACTAGACTTGGGCTTTTAGTCTTTATTATGGGGCTTATGTGGAGCTGAGTGGTGCGATGTACTCAATGCAAGTATTAACTATTCCCCCCCCCCCTATAAATAGGGGATAACAAGCCTAGCTTATTGCATCAAAGGTTTTTTTTTTTTTACTTAATTATAAAGAAATATTAGAAAAAAGAACCAAGCAAGGGAGGAGTGAGAGATATAGTGTGATCAAGTTTTGGTGATAGATGGCAATTGAAGTAAAGCAAGTTCTTTGTATGAAGGAGGGGACTGATGAAACCAGTTACGTAAAAACGTCCTACATTCAGGTAGATTTTATAGACGATGTCAATAAAAATGACTTAAAATAGGTTTTATAACTCTTGATATTCTTTTGTTTTTGTTTCACCCTTTTATTCATTTTATTTTATGTATGTACAATTCTATAATATGTGAATTGAACAAAAGAGAATGGAAGAACTATACTCTTCGTATGTCTTCATAAACTATGTACAAAGACGACTTTCATTATTAATTTATCGGATGTATTAATAATTATATGAATGATGAAGGGAGTATGAATTTAAATTTAGACTTAATTAATAATTAAGAGAGGTGGCACATGGTTACATGACAATTCAAATTACTATGTAACACCTAAAATAGAAGCACTCAACTTAGTGATTTCAATTGAATGTCAACGTACATGCATGCACAATTAGATCACGTTTTTTTTTTTTGAGGGAAACAATTAGATCACGTTTAATCAATAAGATATCATCCGATCCGATTCATTAATAGTATTGATTAGTAATATTTTTGGAATATGATATCCTTTATGAGTACTCCTTAGAAAAATTGATTTAAATTAAGTATTGTGCTCAATCAGATGATTAGATGATAAAAAAATTTAAATTAAAATTTAGAATTTATTCTACACCATTAAACACGAATAATGCTTGATTGATATAGACATATAATAGCTCACATCTAAATTCTACAAGCAAATTAATTCCAATTTTCATGCAACAGAAGCAGGTGCTATTATTGACAAAATCCATAAAAGAAAAAGCCATAAAGGAGTTCTATTCCAAGGAACGACCAACAACCTTATGCATAGCTGATTTGGGGTGTTCCTCCGCCGAGCTCAACACCTTGGGAGTGGTCGCTGAGCTTATAGAAACAATCGAAAATGCTCGTCAAGATTTGGGGAATGGGAGCCAAGAGTATCAAGTTTACTTGAATGATCTTCCAGGCAATGATTTCAACACAATCTTTAGGTCAATAGCAAGCTTTGAGGATAGCCTGAAGAAGCAAATTGGTAGTAATAATTTTGGGCATTGTTTTGTGAATGGTGTTCCTGGTTCTTTCTATGGAAGGCTATTCCCTACCAATCACTTGCATTTTGTTCATTCTTCTTATAGCCTCATGTGGCTTTCTCAGGTGATTTTTCAATCTTTACATATTTTCAAAATGATTTTAATTTTTTAGTTTGTCTTTATTTGTACACGTAAAAAGTAATAAAGATATAACTGTCATTTCATCTTCAAAATACTTGGTTATAAACTCATGAAAAAGCTCCTACAAACCGTTTGTTGACAACCAACTTATTTGGTGGAATAGACTCTTTGAATTAGCTCACTAGCTAGGCCACCAAACAATCCAATTAGCTTATTATGTTGCTCAATTTACTTTGAACTAACTAGTTTGTCCTAATAAGTTGAATTATTAGTCACAGTAAATCTGTAATCCATAAAGGCTTGTCTAACATGTGCCATGTGCACATATTAATTTAAAGAAAAAAATCCTATGAAAAAAGGATGAAATAAGAGAATGGTGAATCCCAAAGGAAAAATATTAAAACCATTTAGTTAATGATTAATTAAAAACTGTGAAAATTTCCTCATTATACGTAGTATTTGTTAATACAATTATGTGGATTATTCTATCTTGTCATATGCTCATGGACACACATTAGAAAATCCTTTTTCTGTATTATGAATCATTTGAATACATAGACATCTCCCGTTTATGGAATCTTTTTCAAAGATATCTCTACTTTGAAAGGGCGACATCATTTAAGGTATGTGGAGATGTACATGTCAATCAAACTATTGCAATTTTAATGATCCTGATGAATTATATAATTGACGTGTCCACAAAAGTAAATCACCTTGATGCTTTAATTTGAATGGTAAAAATAATTTAGCAAGTTCATGAATGGATGAGAATAATGGCTTTTGAATGGGTGCAACAGGTACCAATAGGAATTGAAGACAACAAGGAAAATATCTACATAGCAAGTACAAGCCCTCCAAATGTGACAGAAGCTTATTATGACCAATTTGAAAAGGACTTTACGATGTTTCTAAGTTGTCGGTCAAAAGAAGTAGTACCCGGAGGAATTATGGTCCTTACGATATTAGGAAGGACATCAACTGAAAAATATAGTAAGGAATCCAGTTACGAATGGGATCTTCTCGCTACTGTCCTCAACGATATGGTTCTTGAGGTAATATCCCGAAAATGTGACAACTAAACTTAAATAGATAGATTTTTTTATTTTAATTTGTTGACAAAAAAAGGTCTTGATTGACTAATATTGTACCTGGTATAATTTTATTATGAATTGGATTTACGTAGGGTTTCATAGAGGAAGAGAAGCTACATACATTCAATATACCTCAATACACTCCATCAGCAGAAGAAATAAGATTTATAATGGAGAAAGAAGGATCTTTTATACTTAGCCAAGTTGATGTTTCCGAAATAAGTTGGGAAGCAAACGAACATTACTATAAGAATGATTTACCTAAGACGGCGTTTACTCACTATGACTTTGTTAAATGCATGAGATCCGTGGCCGAGCCCTTACTCGTAAATCATTTTGGAGAATCCATAATTGAAGAGTTGTTTAAGAGATACCTGGAAACTGTCCAAGTCGCGATGACCAAAGAGAAGAATGTGTTCATCAATGTCACGGTGTCCTTGACACGAAAGGGTTAATCAATCCATGGAGAAAAAACTATCAATTTAAAACTACGATTCCTTCGTTTTGGTCCACGTTTTCATTTTTGTGGTCGTGTTTGTGTTTGTGTTCGTTAGAAATCTTGTTGGTGTTGTTAAAAGCTTGCATTGCTCCATATTTGTAATCTTCATTGTTTTCGTGGTTGGTCAATTAGTGTACATGTTGGGGTTGCAAAATGCTACTCCATACATACTATTGTTTGAGCTATGGTAGGAGTCTGAACTATAAATAAATGATGTCAAATACTACCTTTGTTATATATTATGTACAACTTTAGGGTATTATTTGTGAGATATAAAAATTCAAAAGTTGCACCGGTAGTATTATATATATATATGTATGAAAAATAAATCTAACTACGAAAACATTCTCCCCTTCAACGATAAAAAGCTTGGAGCTGATAGCTAGGCCGCTTGTAATATGTTAAGGGTCTGTTCATATTTACTGAACTGATTGGAGCTGAACTGAACTGAATTGATTGGAGCTGAACTGAACTGAACTGAATTGATTGGAGTTGAACTGAACTGAACTGTACTAAGCTGAAATGAATATTTTATGAGAGAGGGAAATTAAGAGCTGAACTGAACTGAACTGATTGGAGCTGAACTGAACTGAACTGATTGGAGCTGAACTGAACTGAACAGAAAATAAGTAAATATGAACAGGCCCTAAATCTAATTACTACCCCCGTTTCATATTATATGCACTAATCGAATTTTTATATCTCACAAAAAATACTCAATTGTTACATATAATATGAAATTGGAGGTAGTATTTCAATTTATGTCGCCTTGTGTATGTGTTATGTGTACTATGTTGATCTCTTCATGGCTAGATAAACTCTACGCTATTATTGTACCTATTTCCTAGCCTAATGGTTGCAACACATTTTGTTTTTCAGAATTCATATTTTATCATTACATTGAATTTTTATAGGATAAAAATAATTAAAAAATAAATTATAAACTGGATTACTAATAAAATTTGTACATGGAAAACATTAAAACTAAAGTGCTGCAATCTAATATATACATGTATAGTTTGTATACTATAAAATGGACAACTAATAAATTGAATAACAGCATTTCAGTAAACCATGCAACATTAATAAATCCTATAACACGTAGATATAGAAAGGATATGTTGATAAATTTATTTGTTTGTATTTTGCACTAAGGGCCTCTTCATATTTACTGAATTGAACTAAGCTGAAATGAATATTTTATGAAAGAGGGAAATAAAGAGCTGAACTGAACTGAACTGATTGGAGCTGAACTGAACTGATTGGAGCTGAACTGAATTGAACTGAAAATAAGTAAATATGAACAAGCCCTAATCGTCTCTTGATTATCTTTTATCATAAGTATAATTCATAAAAATGTAGCAAAGATAATATATACGAGTATTATTTATATATATGTGGTAAAATTTATAAAAACATTATCCTAGCTACTAGCAATTTTTTTTTGTAAAATATAATTTAACTAACATAAGAATTTGATTTATATTAGGAAACTAATTACAAGAATTTGATGCTAATATAAATCCTCAAACCTCATCTCTGCTCAGTCTCTAAAACAATTTTTGACCAACCGTTTAGTATAAAAGCCTTATGCAGACGCTTGCTTGATTCCTCATTGTCAGGTATTATACTATTTCCATTGATTTACTTCAAGGCATCGTTAACTTCACCTTAATTTTGCTGAATTGAAATTATTTTTTCTAAATTGAAATTATTATTATTGAAGTGAGATTATTTTTACTAAATTTCTATTATATTTCTATAATTATTATAAATTCTTTAAGATATACATATACTTCCACTGTTCCAATATAATAATTTCTAATTCGTCAAAAAAAATATATATAATAATTTCTATAAGATATACTTCCACTGATCCAATATTATTATAACTATTTGTCAAAAAAAAAAATATTATTATAACTAACAACTAGACTTTTGTGCTATTCATAATTTTTGTTTGACCATATCATATGATTTATGTGTTAAAGGATCTTATTAGCTTCAATTCGTCTCATAAAATACTTTCACAATATCATTTATTTTTTTTTTTTTTTTTACTCTTTTACAATTATAAATATTTAACATATAAAATGTGTTTTGAGACCAAAATTTCATCCTTGTTGCAATATTATTGGAACGGGGGAAGTATAATATTGAAACTTTATTGATAGTATAACTCCAACAAAATTTTAATTCTTAACTAATTCATCTCAAATTTCTCAAATTTACATAACAAAATTTATGCAAAATTGGATTGCTTAATTTTTAACTAAAGATCATATTATATAATTATCAAATGAAAAAAGATAAAAACAAATTAGGATTAATCTATCATTAGGATAAACAGAGTATATATGTAAAGTATCCTAAATTCCTAACCCTACTAGCTTGTTAGGCGTGTGATCAATACTGAGGAATGAGGAGTCTTTCTAGTAATGCATAGTAAAGCTTATCACTTGGCATAATTAATAATTTAATTTATAAATACAATATGTTTGGGTCCAATTTAGTCCAATTGGGCCTGGTCACTGAATGATCCAATTAAAAGCCCAAGGTTAAGGTTCAACTCTCCAAATGTGCTAAAGTCAAAAATCAACATCCTCAAAGCCATGTCAAGGTCAGTCAACGGCCCAATCAGCTTGGCCCAGCCCAACTGACTTCCGGGCCCAATCCGCCTCCTTCATTAGCCAAGGTATAAAAGCCAACAATTTGGTCAATTCTTGGTAAGACAATAAAGCCTCAAGCAACTAAACTCTTGCACAGCTTTCTCTCTCTAATATACTGACTTAAGCATCGGAGGGGCCTTCCTCGGCGTCCCCCCCGAGGCTAGTTTACGTGTATTTGTTGTGCAGGAAACCCTCGGCTCCTGCGTCGTTCGGACCGAGACCAAGTTCCCTCAAGATAAAAGGATCTTCCGAGATTCGATTGTTTTCATCCGAAACAATTTGGCGCCGTCTGTGGGGAACGCTACTAAATTTCGCGTCAGTCATCAAACACTCCGGCAGTCGCCATGACTAAGAGTGGAAAGAGTTCCAAGAAGGCTAAGAAGGGAGGAGGCCGGATTACGGTGAGGGAACGCCAGCCGGTTTATCCCTCCCCGGAGCAAGCCTCTTCCGAATCGGAGGCCCCCATTTCTCCGGAAAGGGAAGCCTCAAGAGGTCCTAGCCTCCAGGAGGAGAACACCTCGCACCACACTCGGCAGCCGGGGCCATCCCCGAGACCGAGTGGCTCAGGTGCGAGGAACTCCCCGCCGCGCCATAGCGTGCAATCCAGGTCACATCCGCGGGAGACTCCTCCCTCCGGACCCTCCACCGAGGAAGTGGCCAGAGCAGTGGCCATCTGCATGGAGTTCCTTAAAGCTCAAGGGGCTCCAATCCAGATGCCTGATGATCACCAGCCGAGAAACCTGAAAAGGAGGATCGGTCAGGATGATGGTGGACAAGTTCCACCACATAGAGAGCTCGGCCAGAGGTGGCGAGGGGACACCCGAAACTCCAGTAAGGAGAGGAGGAGGAACCCTCAACCCTCTGACCACTCTGAAGCTCAGAATTCCATGGGGCCCTCCAAGGACCCGGAATTCGCCCGCCAAAGCGTTCACGAACGCTTGGGTTCGAGGGAGGTGAGTGTGCATAGCCGCCTCACCTTCCCAGAGGATACCGGACCCCACCCAACCTTGTCTCAGCCGGGGACGAAAACCACTTCCACCTCTGAGAGAGGAGGGAGCGAGGTCCCTGAGGCCGGGTACAAGGGGAAGGCGGTCATGGTTCCATCGAACTCGCCCTTCCAGAAGTGGATTCTGGAAGAGCATGTGCCAACGGTCAAAATCCCGGCACATATTACTTACGATGGTACCTCAGATCCTAAGGATCACATTGCCTCTTACGAGGGGCACATGTATCTGAACCCGAGGTCTGAGGCTACCTGGTGTAAATACTTTCCTACGACCCTCAAAGGTGTTGCCCAATCCTGGATCACCAAAGGGCTCAAGGAAGGCTCCATAACCGGTTGGAATGACCTCTCCAACAAGTTCAAGAGCAAATTCTCTACGGCCAACCGCCGAGAGAAGACCACTGCAGAGCTAATGAGTCTGCAGCAGGCGGAGGACGAGAGCCTCCGCGACTATCTGACTCGCTTCAGCAACGAGTCATCCGGAATCACAAGCCTGGATCAAGGCCTGGCCGTGTTCGCGCTACGGAACGGCCTCCAAGCTGGAAAGTTCCTGGACTTCATGGTCATGCATCCCCCGCAGACCCTGGAGGAAGCCTTGGAAGCATCGGATAGGTTCATCCGAGCCGAGGAGTGGAACAGATCCAGGTCTCAGTCTCGTCCGAGAATTGAGAAGCCGAAAGGGCAGCAGCCCGAAGTCTCGGCGCAGAGGAAAGGGAAGGCTAAGGCCTCAGAACCGTCCTCTGCTGCCGAGCCGAAGAAGGAAAGACACTTTCCCTACACGGGAAGGTACGATTCATACACTCCACTCTCCCTTCCCCGTGCTAAGATTTTCAGCACGACGAAGGACGAGGGGAGATTCAAAAAACCTCGTCCGTTGCCTCCCTGGCATCAGACGAGGGGAAAGGACCAGTGGTGCGAGTTCCATGACTCACCCGGACATCGCACCGAGGACTGCGTCCAGCTGAAGGACCAGATTGAGGATCTGGTCCGCAAGGGGTACCTGAGCCAATACCTCGCGGACAGGCGCGAGGAGAAAAAAGCTGAAAAAGATTCTCGGCAGGACCTCAACTTCGCTCGGAAGAAGGATAAGGGACCTCAGGGCAAGGAGTCCCTCGACATCCTAGTTATTTCCGGGGGAATCTCGCGAGGCACAGCCAAACGCCAACTGAGGGGTCTAACCCATCAGATTCATCAGGCTGAGCTTCGGCAGTCCCAGTCACCGGCGCCGAACATCCTGTTCACAGCCGAAGACTGTGAGGGGGTGGTATACCCCCACGATGACCCACTAGTAATCATTCTGGGCATCGCCAACCGCAACGTCTGGCGGACCCTCGTCGACGGCGGTAGCGGGGCGAACATCCTCTTCCGAGGAGCGTTCGACCAGCTGAGGATGGGAGCCGAGCACCTGGCCCCCGCACCCTACCCGGTGTCTGGATTCAACGGCTCTTCCTCGTATCCTGACGGGAAGATTACACTTCCTGTCACCATCGGCGAAGGCCGAGCAGCTAGGAATATCATGGCCGAATTTTTGGTCGTAGATGCTCCATCTGCATACAACGTGATCATGGGGAGACCCCTCATTCACGGCATTCAGGGAGTCGTCTCCACGTATCATCAAATCATG